GCTCTGGACCAGGGGCCGATGGCCGTGGCGGCAGGGCTGAGCAGCGGGAGGCACAACCACTCCACACCAGCGTGCAACCCGAAGCTTAGGAGACGTTCGTTTCTACAATTTCCTATTTAATATTTTTGGACCATGGTTGACCAAGGGTAACTGAAGTGAAGAAAAATCAAAACTAGATGAGGAGGGGACATTATATAGTTAGGTGGGTTTTGTTTTTGTTGTTTTTGAGACAGGCGCTCTTCCGTAGTCTTGGCTATCCTTGAACTCAAAAGATCGGCCTGCCTCTGCCTCCCCAGATTAAAGGCATGCACCACCACAGCTAGTTGATTTTTGACAAAAGTACAAAGGTTGAGAAAAGATTGTCCTTTCAGTAAACGGTGCTGTAGCAATTGAACCTCTGTGAACCCCTGTTCCTTGTGACTAATACACAGTTCAAGTTGTGTATTGAATCATGGACCTAAATCTAAAATTTTTCTAAGAAAATAGGAGACATATCTTTGTGATCTAGAGTCAGGCAAAGAGATCTTAGATATAACACTGGACTTACCCAGGAAATTAAAAATCTCATAAATTGGACTCAAAGTAAAAACTTCTGTTACAAAAATTAAGAAAGTAAAAAGCCACAAACTGAAAATCACATATTTAACGAAAGGTTTATATTCAGAATATGTGAGGGACTTTCAGAGCCCATCTGTAGAGTCAGCCCTATAAAAGACAATGGAGAACGCATTTCACTGAAGACACAGATGGCTGAGGGGCACAGGAGCACACTCAACATCCTTAGTCGTGAGAGAAACGCACATAAAACCACACTGAGATGCACTGCACACCTCCACCCAAGCACAGCCGGGGGTGCCAAGTGCCAGAGACGGAACAGCTGGAGGCCCACTGCCGCTAGCAAAATGCACAGGCCTCACAGGTTGAGGTTTGCAAGTTCCCTGTAGCTGAACATTGCTTATGAGAGAACACACCCTTCCTAGGTGTTTACCTGAGATAAACAAAGATCTGTTTATAAAAAAGCCCACGTTCAAATGCTTCTATAAAATGTATGTGTTAAAAAAAAACTAGAAAGAGTTCCAGTTCCCTATGGGAGGAATGAATGGACACACTGTGCGCCCTCCAATGGAATACCACTCACTACTGAAGTGAGCAAGGGTTCCGTGCTCCCTGACATGCGCTGTGCAGACGACAGGGCTAAGATGCAAAGGCTAGGAACGGGGGATTTCATTCATGTAGAGGTGCTACAGGGAAGGGGTTTGCTAGAACTATCTTGGGGGACAGCACCAGGGAATGTGGGGCTTCCCTGTGACATCAGAATGAGTAGGTTTTACTACGTATAAATTCTAGTCTGCTTTTTTTAAATTCCATTTTTGAAGTTTTAAATTTTATTTATTGTGTTGGGTGGATGTTTTGCCTGCAAGCATCACGTGCACCTAGTGCCTGCAGGGGTCAAAAGAGGGTGCTGGATCCTTTGAGACCGGTAGTGAGTCACCACGTGAGTGCCGGGCATTGAACCCCCAACAAGTTCTCTTAACCACCCAGCCATTTCCCTAGCCCCACCCCAACCTAAAATTTTAAAAAGCACACACAAGGGCAGCCGTTAGCATCCCCCCTGTCCACAGCTGCATTTCCCGTGCTGCTCTCTGGAGGCTGCTCACCCGCACTGAGTCAGGGGACTGTGCAACCTGTGGTCCAACGCCATTCTTCCCAGCTCTGGTTCAGAAGAGCAACCAGGACGTGACTGTAATCTGACATGGACACAGGATCTGTACCAGAGAAATTAAACCAATGATGCTAGACATGGTGGCCTACCACACATGTAATTCTGACACTTGGGAATCAGGAGGACCACTCAAAGTTTACGGCCAGCTTGGTTCACATAGTGAGTACCAGGCCAGGCGAGCTTGGTCCACAGAATGAGACGGTCTGAAAACAAAACAAAACAACAACAAAAAAAAACAGGGCAGAAGATGTTAATGCTAATCAAGTATCTGTGTGAGCACAGCTCTGCCCTGCTGGTAGCACTGGGTCTGGAGGGAGCACCCTATAGTATCTGACGACTGTCTGACCCAGCGACACTGACAACAGGCGTGTCCCTAACATGTTTACCTCCCTCAGAGAAACAGAAATGTCAGACAACATTCATGTCATCTCTAGGTGGACATAGGTTGGCTGTGGTGCAGGAGTGCAGTGAGGGTTGGCGGAGGCTCCTGGAAGTCACCTTTGTTGACAGGGGCATGCTTTATCGCTTGGCAATGATGTGGAGTGCAGAGGTGTGTGGTCCCTCCCGACATTTTAGCACCGGGCACTGTTTGGGTGTCACAAGCCTGTAGGCTGTCATGGTGGGACAGACAGAAGCAGCGGAACCCAGAGCTGAGCCCTGCACCATGGCAACAGCACAGGTGTCGGGGATGAGCTGTGAAAGGAGGATTAGTGAGCACGTGAGACCACAGAGGCCCAAAGCAGGTACCGCACAGCTACAGCTTGTGGATGCTCGGAGGGAGCCTGGGGGATGTCGGTGTTGGGGTCAAGCCATTTGGTGCCAGGTGACTCGGACTGAGGGGCCTTGCCTCAGCATCTACCTCCCTACTTCCTCAGCCTGAGGGCTCAAGAGGAGATGAGCCCAACACCCGCCATGTTGCAGATCTGCGGTGGCGTGCTAAGGACTGGACGAAGACTGCTGTGCTCATCCTCCCTCCCTCCCTTCCTCCCTCCCTCCCTCCCTTCCAGAGGGCAGCAGGAGTGGTGGGGAAGGGCAGTCTGCCTGTGGAGTGCACAGACCCTGCGGATGAAGAGGCCTGGGTGCTCTGCAGTGCTGCGAGGGTCGTTGTCGGGGGCAGGGCAGAGTGGCAAGAACAGGGTGACGGGCTAGGGAGGTGACGTGAAGTCGCCTGCCTCTTGCTCACTCAGGCCTCGCACGTCTTTGCAGACCCAGATCAGGAGTACCACGGTGCAGGAAGGGGTGGCGACTTGGGGTTTATCAAGAGGCAGGGACCAGCATCTCCCCGGGATCCTCACAAAGTCCCCTCAGAGTCACGCCTCATACTCTGTGCAATCACCAGATCTGCAAGGATTCCCAAGTGTCTCAAGGTCTCGGTCTGGCTTCTTGGGTGGCCGGCCTTTTACAAAACCTCCGCTATTTGGATAGAGGTCACAGCCGGGACCATGCCTAGGGCATGAGGTGACAGACCTGGGAAAGACGGACTCCCAGAGAGCAGTGTATGGGTGCGGATGGTAGAGCCGAGTCTCAGACACGAGAGCCAGGCAGCAATGCTGTCAAAGGGTTTGATGTGGCAGCTGGGCGTGGCACGTGGCTGCTGGCTGGTTAGTTCTGGCAGGGCAGTTGAGTACCTGGCCTTTGCCGTGACAATGTCAGAGCTGGAAAGCAGACTGGACAGACAGGGCGGGGCACTTGCTGGGGTGCGGGCAAGTGAAATGGCCAGGGATGGGCAGAGCTTGACTGACAAGCTACGTAAGAACACGCAAGAGACCTTTCTCTTCCGGTCCCAGGCACTTGGGGGGCACTCAGAGGTCACGGCACAGAGCTGGCAGGAGCTACACCCCACATAACCAGTCCCGAGGACACGAGAAGGCACTCCGAAGCCCCAGTCACACAGGGGCGACCCCAAGTTCCTGAGGAGCGTGCTGCTTTACTAAGAACAAGGGGGCCTGAAGAAGGTGCAGGCGAACGGTGTGAAGCCCTAGCGAAGCCCAAGACAGTCACAAATGCCTGGGATGGCCAAGGGTCACAGAAAACTGTCCGCCACGATGAAGACAGACGGTGCTGGTGTGACCCCTCCACAGCTTCTGAAGACAGGCGGTTGGTGGTTCTTCAGACAGGGTCAGCATGTGTGGAGAGCAGAAACAGACATGGTGACATGCTCCATACTGGTGACAGAGGGCAGGTAAGGCTCCGCCGCTGCTAAGGTGACTCTTGGTGTACTTAGGTGTGATCTGAAGCACAGGTGTGCCTGGGGATGTGAACTCTACCCAGGGACGCGGGAGGGAAGTCAGGATGCACCTGGCAGGCTGGAGGAATGCCAGGGAGGGGTGCAGCACGCTGAGGAATGGGGTGGCCAGTGGGGACAGGAAGCCTCAGCCATTCCCGAGAACTGGTTTTTACGATGCGGAGTCACCTGCAGGTTCTTGCTCAGGGCAGCAGATGCTGTTAGGAGCAGGCCCACCTCCTGGGACGCATCCACACGGGTCACCGTTAGTCACCAGCACAGGATATATATCTATATATATAGCAGGAATGATGGGGAATGGCTTTCCAAAGAAGAACGGACTCCTCGGGGAAGGCAGCTACCATGTGAGTCACTATGGAAGGACCCATGGGACAAGAAATTAGGCCTGAAAATGGCACCCCGAGGGAGTCTGGGGGTAACAGACTACTGCAGAGGCTTTTAAAGTGTCTTATTTTGGTGTTTAACCAGGAAACAAGGTGACTGGGAGTGCAGGTGAGGTGGGAAATAGCGAGGAAGGCCCTAGGCATGGAGAGTGGACAAGCAGGCATCCTCTGGCTGTCCAGGCTGAACCTCAGAGAATCAAGGTTAAAAGCAGAGACCGAAACCAGTCATTTAAAGCCAGGCGTCTGGGGGAGCCCAGGAAACTGGACAGGGGGACAGCAGTTGAGTGGGCACGGGTAAGAGCTGACTGGAATGGCAGAGAGAAGTGACTCCAGCAAGGTGACTGGCCACAGCCATCTCTTTAAGGAGCTCCAAGAGGGAGCGTCTCCTGGGAAGGCGCGGGGATGGAGGCGGCCACTTTCATGTCAGGGTTTGAGAGCTGATGTGACTGGTTCGTCCATGGCTTTGACTTGAACCCTCAAGAATGGTTATGGAAACTCCTGGGGTGGGGACACAGGCTGGGCTGCTGAACGCGACAAGACCTGACCTTCCCGGGTGGCGTGTGCGTGAGAGTTTTGTTTCCTTCCCTCCCTAGGCAACTATCCCGGGGGGTGGGGCACTGACTCTTCTTGAAGGCAAAGAAACAACTTCTTGGTTTCATAGTGGACTTTATTGGGAAAATTAGTGTAAAAAAGTTGGATTCATAAAATTTAAATAAGACAGTAGAATCTTTACCTCATAGTTATGATAATTGCCATAGTAATCACAAATAAGGTGGAGTCTAAGTTATTATTGCTAAGCAAACACTATTCTGTCAGGCAGGGAACGCTGAGGTTATCAGAAGTAAGCGTGATGATGAGTCTGCACTTGATGCTGGGGTAACGGGGGAAGCGTGCTCCCATTATGGCATCACATCTTTCTAGCCTGGAAAAGCAACTCTATTAATGTCCTGCAGCAGAGCACATTAGTAACTGTAGCCATGCATTATAACCCACTCTGTTTCATAAAGAAAGCAATCAGTTTCCTGTGCAATGCATCATGTCTTACTGTTTCCTATGGTTTAGTCTTCAGAGGCTCCTTCCCCAGACTGTTTCTCAGGGTACACAGTGGCTTACGCTGGGTCACCCTTGGTCATTTAATCCCACACTGCCCGATGGCAGGGCTGAGGGCAACCTCTCCCCTCCAACTCACCCCTGCCTAGAAAGCAAACACCTCATCCTACTCTGAAATGTGACTAAGAAGTAAGTTAATGTGGTACTCTTTGGTTATGGAACTTTTATTGTCATTTAAGCTTATAAAAATATAGCTAGAAATATACTTCTGAATTCTAAAGCTTTTTTGTTTGTTTTTTTTAAGCCAGTTCTAACAGAAACATATCCTTGCAAAATTCACCACCTGGTTGGGTTGGAAATGTGCTCCCTCCCTGTGGAATCTAAGTGTTCTCTACTTAGCAAACACATCTGAGGGGAGCATCTGCAGACCCCACGGGCAGAGCGGCTCAGATGCTGTCCATGGCTTTGAACTCGCTGAGGGCCTGCACGGGGCTCACGTGCTTCTTCTGCGAGGCTCGCTTAATCTTAGTCTGCGTCTCATCCTGCTTCTCCCTCTTCACCAAGGGCTTCTTCTCAGGCGCCTTCATCTTCCACGACACAGCGGGGAGGTTGAGGGACGCCATCCCCTGTGACTTCTGGTACTTGGTGGAAGCCACATAGGAGGCCTTCACCGTCTGCACTACAGCATTCATCAAGTTCTTGGCTGCCTGGATCAGGGACATGGCGCTGTCCACCTGCAAGGGACAGATGGATGCTGAGGAGCCTGACATGAACCCTGCATCCATGCAGGCCTGGCCACACCAGCCAGGGCCTCCAGCAGCTTAGGAACAAGGGCCCGAGGGTCCCCGCTGCACTGTGGAGAGGCCTTGTCACTGCTCTTTCGATGGCAGTTCTTACCTTTAAGAAGAAACGGTGACAACACCTAAAGCCAAGATCATCTCATCACCCCCTCGGGCCCTCTTGATGGCAAGACTGTGTATTACTGGCCCGTGAACAGCACAGAGAAGACATGAAGTCAGGCCGCCTCCACACAACTCCCACTCTCAGGTATGGGTCTGGTCCCCCACTGGAGAATATGGAGACGTGCTCTCTCCAGCCAGAGAGGTTGCTACAACTCAGCTCTTTGTGGGCAGAAACTGAGAAAGCAGCCTGCACAGCTCTACTTGGTAGTTTCTGAGCAGACGAAAACACCCATTCCTAAAACCAGCTAGAGGAGGATGAGAGCAGGGCCATGCCGCTTCTGTGGGTCTGCAGGGGACAGAAGTCTACGTCAGCACATCCCCACGGGCGCCACTCACCCCAGAGACGACAAGCTCCCCGCCAAGGTTCTGCACTTCGGCCTTGACTTTACTGCAGATGTTGAGCTGGTGGCAGTAGAGCGCGATGCGCTGAAGGTAGGCCAGCAGGTCCTGCTTGCAGGCGGAGTCTGGGCACTGAGGGGACGAGAAGCTTAGTGGGGAGACGAGCCCGCCCCCAGGGCTGATTCCCAAACACCCTGTGGGCACTGGCACGCTCCCCCCTCCCGCAGGTGACAGGGGTGACGCCTTCTGTTCTCTGGGGCCCTGAGCCTTCCACTCTAACTCTGCCTGCCAGCCAGCTACTGCCTAGGTTTCCACCGAGGGGAGAAGCTCATGGTCCTAAGAGGTGAGAGAAAGGGCCTAGTCACACAGGAAAGTCATGTTAATTAACCATCCAGAGAAACAGTTCTGCCTAAGGTAAGGTCTGCTCAACAAGGGTGTGCAAGACCAGCCCCTGAGGACAGACACTTACTCTAGGCACCGATGACTACCAAAAGTTACAGTGCAGCTCCTGCCCAGACGGCACTGAAGCCCGGGGTTTAGATCTCAGAAGAGGAACGCTCTCTTCCATCAAGGTGTGGGATGTTAAGTGGGGCCTATACTCCATGCTGAAGGCCCTTTTTTCTAAGATGCTACCGAAGGACAGATTCAAGTCTGACTTCCACGATGGCTGTATGCACAACGGAGAAAAGAGTAGCTAACAGGTCACAGTGGTCCAGGACGGTGAGAACTCAATGGAGCTACTGATTTCAGACAGCAGAGACCGGGTGGGTCCACGAGGATTTTTACTGGGGAGTCAAGAATGACTGTCAAATGCTGGCTTGGGAAACGAGACACAGCTGTCACTCATCCTGCAGCCTGGGTAACTCAGAAAACCCACAATTCTGGCTTACACCGTGGCACCACAGCAATGTGCTGAGACAGAGAAGTCTGTCCCCAATGGGGTGTGTCAGCCTCTCCCAGGCCTCCATGTCCTACAGACCCTGCAGGAGGCTCCCACTTCCAGTGCTGGGGTGGGCAGGGTCTGCATCTGCCCAGAACTGGAGTTCTGAGGAGGGAGAGCTGAGAAGTAATAGCAGAGGCTGACTCAATGGTTTAGTGATGGCAAGTTTTCAGACAGACACACCCAACTCCTGAAACTTGTCAAAGAAACGGATCTGAGAAGTCTTTAGGAATATGCACTGGGATCAATCAATTAGGTTTTCAAAGATGGATGTGGCCCCTGAAAACGATCTCAGACAGCTACTCGGCAGTGCGCCGGTCAGACTGCCACTTACATGGTCTGCGATGGTCCGGCCAAGCTTATCCATCCTGGATCCCGCCTCAGCGATCTTCTTGGCAGCACTGATAACATCTGACGTGTTTTTGAGTGGTCCTTTGCCTCTGAAAAGAGAAGAGGATCCCTGTCTGTGAAGCCTTTGCTGGATAGGGTCCTGGGGAGGTGAGCTCTATCTCTGCCGGGGTGGCCTCTCTCACCGGGTGAAGTCGGTCATCTCCATCATGATCATGCACATCTGCTTGGCCAGCACGATGATGTCGTTGCCACTGTCGTCCCACTTGGACACCTCGGCGTCCAGTTTGCTCTTTTCTTCCTGGAAGCTGGCCACCTGTTCTGCAATCTTTGCCTTTTGCTCCTGAGGAAGCTGAGCCATGATCGCCTGCAATCACAAGCCAGACCACTCTTAGGGAGCTCTCAGTGCATTAGCCAGACGACATCCAAGAGCAAGCTACAGCATGGGTGGGGTAATGCTTTGACGGTCGCATTTTGCCTGAAGGGCTATTTTCTCATCTTTGTAGGCGTTTACTGCAGCTTAAATTCCTAACCCACTTTCCAGAGCGCGTCTGAATGTGGAGGGTAACAGCTCAGGAGGGTGACTTGGAGGCTTCCCAGTCACACCTGTGCTGAGCCGAGTGACTGACTCTTCCAAGTTTCACGCTTGCTGCTGTCTACGGCAACATGAAAGGAGAAAGGGAAGTGTGCATGGCGCCCTGGACAGACGTTTGCAAGTTTGAAAGGTCTGCCCGAAGTAGTGTGAGAAGCAGACAGAATCTGCTGAGGACGTAGCTACTTGACAAGCGCACCCTGGAGGCTGCCAATTCAAGGCCATAGCCTGGGTTCTATCCTCTTAGCTTTCCAAGTGCTCATGACCAGTAAGGCCTAGAGCAGGAACAGGTTCTCTGATAGATTTCCGTGGAGTGAGAAAATAGACTTCTTAGAACTGTATCTTGGCATCCTTCCAAAAGAAGAGATGCTATTGATTTAAGATTTAATGACTCCAACCCAGTGGTGCCGACTGGTTTTCTCAAATGTACTAATAGTGGGTTTTGTTTTAAGGTCCATGAATAATTAAGAGCTCATTCCCATGGTTATCAATGCAATGAGCAGAAGTTTTTCAAAATTCTTCTGAGCGGCTCAGGATACCATAAACTGGCAGCCCACTGGGTACCCAAGGCCCCAGGTTCTCACCCTGCTCCTAGCTGAGGAGGAAATTGGAGGAAGCCAGCAGGTGTCATGACTTAGAATGTCAGTCATACCACCAAAACCAGACAAGAAAAATACTGTTGAATATTCTAAAAGAGAAAAGAACAACCAGGGAGCCCCCAGAACGAGTTGGAGGACCCAGGGGAGCGTCCTCACCCGGGCACTTTGTCCAGCGATCAGCTGGTCGTCCTCTGTCTGGACACTCGTCCTACTTCTGACGTCAAAATCTTCGGTCTCAAAGTCAGAGTCATCCAGTTCCTCGGGAGTCTGCAGTCAGGACAAAAGACTGAGTCAGACAAGTTCTGTGCCTCCAGCCTCCCAAAGTGCATGAGTCTGTGTCGCCTCCACACCCTCTCTTTAGAGACAGCCCCTTCCCTCGGATGTAGAGTGCAGGCTGACCACTGAATCAAGGCTTGCTGTAACGAAGACCTCACTTCAGTACAGTTTCCCAAGGGAGGTGAAATCCACCCTTGGTCAAAGTCTTTACAGCCGGTATGTTTTATACAACACAGAGCGATCTCACACAAGTTCCACCTTATGACAAGAAAAGGACATAAATTAATACTGGGATTCTCTCTGGGTACCAAAGGCTATTCTGAGGAGTAAAACAAAGCCATCTATTATCCCCAAAGTCCCGTTTCCTTCTTATCAAAGGAGAGAGAGGGCAGCAGACTACGTTCAGTGCACACGAGAGGGCCTGGCTGCTTGTTCTCTGCTCTCTGCTCTAACTATCTGGTAAAGTTTGTATTTTGCACAACCCCAGCTCTCCTGATTGACACAGTTATCAGGAAAGACGACAGGCAGGACAGCTGGGGTTGGCTTTTGGCCAGACGACCAGCCTGTGACAGGAGGGCAGAGAGGCCTCCTCTCCACTGGGCCCCGAGCCAAGCCATGCCCAGGGCCTTGCTGTGAGGATCAAATGACAGAACGTGCAGAGAGCACTCAGTGACAGGAGCTTGTAATCTGACGGGGAAAGGTTGGCCTACCCCTAGAGACCTGACAACAGTGGGGGGCAAGGATCACAAGGTACCACAGAGCCACAACGATCCTGTCAGTGCGGCGCTCTGGAGTCGTGAGTCTCAGAGGGTTTCCAGAGCAGCACCCGACACTGCTCCCTCGCCGGTCACAGCCTGTCTGGGTCCTAAGAACTGTTCTCGCCAAGAAGAGCTGAGTTCTTTTCTTTTGTTCACTCACCTATTCTAACCGGGAACACCAGGAGTGATGGGCAAAAACTGAGTCAAGCACATGTCTTACTGCAGAGCTGTGAGCAGCGAGAGCCATCAGCTGATGGGAACAGGGACAGACGGGTCTGGGGAGGCAGTGCAGGGAGCACGTGCGGGCGGGGCTGAGGAAGTGGCGAGTAACAGAAGAGTGATTTGGCTCACTGGCTGGATCCCAGCTCAGGTGACTGAGCCAAGGGAGGAGCAGCAGGAGAGGACAGACACGTGCTGTGGACCTTAGAGTATGGAACAGAAGATAACACGCTTTGACTGTGGCTTCGGGAGCTGACTTGGATGCACTGGGCTAAGGGACCTCCCAGCAGAGGGGTGGGTCTAGGTAAGAGATGCCAGGCCTCGGACCAGGGTGGAAACCCATTCATATTCCTGAGAGGGAGGATGAAGCCAACCAGACTTGCTGTTTGATCCACGGTGTGGATCCGCACAAACTGAGGAGCTAACTACTGAGTAATCTGGTTCAGAGGCCGGGGCTCACTCTTGGGCCCAGTAACTGAAAAAAGTTGTACATTGGCTACATAAGTATAAAAATGAGCAAAACCAGCCTCTAAAGAAAGCATATTTTTGCAAAAAATGGGCAGAGAGACCAGGGCTTCCCTGACAAGGAGACTGAGAGGTATGTCGTCCCCGACCCCTCAGAGAGGAACACAGTCATACATAGAGAGGACTCAGAGACAGTGAGACGTCTAATGGATGCTGTCGCCGTCCGTACCCAGGGCAGGGCAACCTTAGAGGGAAGCAGTAGCCGCAGGCACAGCAGCAGGGACAGACACTCCAGCTGCCTGGGATCGCCAACGGGACGTAAGATGAGGCACAGGGCTGGAGGTTCAGGCGTGGGAAGGTCAAAGAGGAATGAAACAGTTACAGGTTCTAGGACCCTCACAGGGCCCCACCTCAGAAACACCCGCCAGAATGGCTGTGTTGAGCTGAGTAGTGATCAGCAGGAAAATGAGAGATCCTAGAGACAGACTCAACTAAGACCTGGGCTGGTAAGACGGCTCAGTGGGTAGAGGCACCCGCTGCCAGGCTTCATAAACTGAGTTTGATTCCTGGGACCAACTTGGTAGGAGGAGAGGACTGACTTCCACAAATTGTCCCATGGTCTCCACACATGCACAACCCCCCAAAAACCCTGAAGAGTGAGTGAAAAGTAACAGGGGACCAATCAGAGTAAATCCAACACTGGTGTGTGTGTGCACACACCAAGGACAGACCCCTGGCTTAGGTAATGGATACTTGTTTTCTCACTGCAACTCGTTTCTAGTCAAGATGGCCGTTGAGTGAAAGGCAGCGACGGGGTCAGTGAGCAGAACGCTGTACACAAACTAAAACCACAGCGCAGGTGCCAAAGCTCTGCTTCTGCTGCTTCCGGGCAACCTTTCTTCTACACTACAGGGTATCTTTCCCGAGTCTGAAGTCTACACACACCTAGAGGTCCAGAAGGAGACAAAGACTGCCCTTCTTCATCTCAGCACAGAACTAAATACAGTAAGCAGCCGCCAACACAGCCATTACTTTTTAAACAATTATTGTATGTGTATGGGAGTCGTCTTCATGCATGTAAGGCGTACCTGAAGGCCAGAAGAGAGCATGGGATTCCCTGAGACTGTTTCAGATGGTTCTGAGGCACCACTTGGGTGTCCAGACTCTCAGAGTACCAGTGCTTTTAACCCTGAACCACCATCGCTCCAGCTCCCCAGGAAAGAGAAGAAAAGGATGTATCAGACAGACAAAGGAAATATTTTGGAGGAGGCACCTAAGCTGCCTGCCTGCTCTCAGGATGAACGTTCCCAGTACCCAGAATGCTTCTTCAAAATGGTGTTCTAAGCCTGAGTCACCTCCTAGGGAACACTACATAGCTTCAGGCCACACGAGCAGAACTGTGTTCCTCCGTGGAGTGTATGTAGCCTTGGGACCCATTAGTACATATTATAGCCACGGGCTGCCATGGTTAACTCAGACCAGCCTCTAAAGGAGACAGATTCTTCTGCCTTAACTTTACAAAGTATTTGTTAAGTGGCATTTTAATCTATTTGGTACATGCAGAACTCAGGACAACCTGCAGGAGTGGGTCCTGAGGATCCATCGGGCCACACGGTTTGGTGGCAGACACCTTCAGCCACTAACTCACAGACTGAAGCCTCTGCTGCCTTGCAGCCCCACCCACAACCCCTCCTCTTCCCGGTGTGCTCGGGGCTGATGGGCGGCTGCCCTGCTTCACCCAGAGAATGGTGGTCTTGCCTAAAAGTTTCCATACTGCATACAAGATGGATGCAACATGTTCCCGACTGGCACTGCGGTTAACTTCTGCAGGCCAGGAAGAGGGGTAGGAAAGCAGGACAGGCTTCCTGTGTAGTCAAACCTTGAGGTGAGACTAGACAACCATGCAGGCACTGATGACAGCTGACTGAACCGCCCAGCAGTGCGGCAGGGGGCCATGCACTCCAAATGCTCTTCAGAGCAACATGCAAGAGATCCCACAGCGACGGAAAAGGCAGTTTGGGAGACAGGCCCTAGACACGTTGATGGAGGAAGCTGCAGTTTCAGAGGCCCATCCCAGGTCATGGGACCTTCCCTTTTCCAAGATGTTGACAAAGACTCAGAGGGAGCACTTCCACTTGGCCACGAGCCGTGGAGCACCCTCAGGGGCTTCCACTCCCTATCCTGAAGAGAGAGTCCAACCTCCTGCCTGGGTTCCCCTTCAAGGAGAGGAGCAGAAGTACAGGAACTTTACCTACCTTAAGAAAAAGCTGCTTCTCTGAAATTTGAGACTATTTCCTGTAGTTTCCCTGTAACTCAAGCTATGTTTACTGAACTAATTTCCTAAGTTAATTCATTAAGCCCACCGTATGCTCCATTTCTTTTTCACTCCATTTTTGGGTTCCATCTCATTTTACCAGGATCTGTGGTTTTTACTATGCGGCCACTGGATCCGCTGAGCTTCAAGAATGACACACTGGTCAAGTTCTCAAAGGATAAGAAAGAAGCTGTTGAAATGTCTAGAATGTGGTTATTCACCCTTATCATCAGCACTGCTTTCCTGATGTCCCGGATGCCATCGTAGACCAGTCGGGAGGCATCGATAAACTCATTCTCGTCCATCGGCTGGGCTGGGTCTGAGCTGAGGGCTTCCACAGCTGCTTCCACCTGCTCAGTGAACCGAGGCATGACTATGGAGACAAGAGGCAGGCAGGTCACGCCGAGCAGACAGCACTCTACCAACCCTTTCCTGAGTCCCTGACACACAAAGGAAAATGTGTTCATGAGCTGACTAATAACCAACATCTCACCAGTAAGACGAGACACCCAGTGTGTGTAAAACCAGAGCTGAGGTCTGTGCAAGCCATAAGGTGGGAACCAGGGAGAGCACTAGGACAGGGACAGTCCTCAGACCTGTGTTGGAGAGGAGCTTGGTGGCTTCCAGAACCTTCTCTGTGTAAACTCCTGGTTCATAGTTGTCCATCTCTGAGGTGACTACATGGATGACTCGAGCTGCCCGGCCTCGGATGGCGCCAGCAGTGCGGTCTAGACCATCCACGTCTTTCTCTTGGAGAGCAATGACACACTTGTTCACATCCTCCAAAATGTGATTCTCTGAGGAACAAGCAAAAGCTGGATGAAGGACCGGTCTTCTACTAGAGGTGACACAGCAGCATGGCATGTTCTACGCACAGAGGACAGGCTTGGTGCCAACCACACACACCAAGAGTTTTGTATACAAAGCTGGGCACAGGCACACATTGGCATGTTGGCATTCGGGAGGGTGGAGCTAGAATCCAGAGTTTGAACCAACTTCTGCAACTTGTCTTCTGTCCTCCAAAAACACCCATGACCCACCTAAGTAATGTAATAAAAACAAGCACACCACCTTTGTTGACTGTCATTGAACAAATATCACAGTCTAACTCAGAAGGACAGTTCAATATCAGCCTGTACCCATCCAGTGTTTCCTCTCCTTCCAGGAGATGCCAATAACACTTAGGAGGCAGCAACACTGAGATCAGAGGGCACGGAAAAGCGGGTTTAACCCTCCAGGGCACTGAGAGACTACATCTGAAAGGAAGCTTCTACTAGGGACACAGCTAGATTTAAATACCCCAAACCATCTCCTTACAAAGCCTGGTGCTGTTTTCAGAAACCCCAGACCAAGCACTTGCAGTCTCGTCTGCCATAGCCAAGGGGCCTGGGCTCAGAGGAGCAAGCTGCACACAGGGCCCGTGCAGCAGAGGCAGACAGGCAAACACCAGTACACACGGGGGACACACGGCAGCTCTCGGAGGCTATGTCAGTTAAAGACGGGGTACCCTGCCAACAGCTGTGTGCACGTGGAGAGAGCCTCCTGCAGACGAGCTGGAGCAAAGGTCGCAAACTCAGTCTGTTTTAAGAAGTACACTGGGAACCGTGTGTGCGCGATGGCACGGACCATTCAGGCTTCAAAAGCTTAGAACAGAACAACAGGCGAAGGCACCGGGAGAAGACAGCCAGAATTCAGATGCTCTGAACTTCAAGAGAAGAATTCTGTGCCTGCATTTGCTAAGTGGAAACCAGCTCAATTCCTCTGCAGTAAGCCAGCCCTCTCTCACACTCTGGTTTACATAAAAGTCGAACCCATTAACCAGATAAAAGTGAATCTGCTGAAGAATTTGATTTCTCTCTACTGGTCTTGTGTTTTATATTAAATAACATTAAAAAAAAAAGAAATCCTGTCTGGATCCCACTAAATATTGCTACTGAATTCCTTTTGTTGTCTGACTTGAAGACTTATATGAGGAACATCTGATTCTATTATATTTTACTTTACTGTAAAAAAAAAAAAGAATGAAAATTCCTGGAGACTAAGCCTGGTAAAATATCCAACTGAATTTCAAAAACTGTAGGAATGTAGTATTTATCCAGAGGGTGCTTTGCATTTAGTTTTCCAAATTTGTTGTTTGCTTAAAAATGTGCTATGAAGGTGGAATGTTTTTCCCTAAACCCATGAAAAAGAATAATTCCATACTTCACTGGGAAAAACAACAGAAGGCCAAGATTTCCCAAAAAGGCCATTGCTGCATTTTTGGCACCTGTAACAATGTGCTCGCAAATGAATTTTTCTGTCTTAAAGTGGTAGCATCTGCAGTTTGGCAGTCCTGCAGCAACATGGCTTACCCCGTCTTCCTGCAGTTACCAGACAGCCTACACCCAAGGTAAAAGAAAGCTCCCATCTCAAGACAGGAAGACATTGGTATGCAGAACACAACGTCGCCCTCATATAGGTCACTGCTGGAGGACTGTTGTGCATGCACTTAAGTTCTGCTTCTCTTCAAGCCCCATTGCCACTCACATCCTACATTCCTGCCTGGGGTTCCCTGGGGTGACAGGTAGTTTCAGCTCTGTAAGAACCCAGCCACTAAATCTGCCCCAGTCACTAGCCTCAGGGAGCCCGGCATTGCCAGGGAGAAGACACAGCCAGGGGAGCAGAGGCCCTGTTAAGTAGAGAATGCATGTAGTGTTACCCAACCCTAAGGAGATAGGATTGAAATTTATTTCTGTGAGATGAACACTAAATTGCATTTGACAGACATGTTCTATATGAATGCAATTTACTATGTCATTACCAGTTTGTGTTTATATAATGAAATCAACTGTTTTGTGAGGTGAATTACTCAGATTTATTTTTTCCAAGTTCATAATTAAATGGCACTTAAATATTTCCTCTCTGTTTTCTCTCTGTGCACCAAGCAGACACAGTCTTGGGGGAAGTAGTCAGTTAAACTCTGATCACTTCTGGTAGACAGGAGCTTTCCAAAATGGGAAAGAGGGTTCTCTACAATCAACTCCCGAGTTTCACAGGCTCGTTATAAGTAACCAGCAACACCAGGACATAGGTCTAAGGTCAAGTATCGAGAGGGATGGATGGTCATATGCTACACAGGTCACAGTCTACACCGGCACTGAAAACATTTGCTAGCCCGGGAACTGACTCTTCCAGGGTGGACAGAGGTCACACCATGAAGAAAACAGCTCCAGTTCCAACTCCCCCTGTAATTCATAAAACTGGAAACCAGCATGTTACTGACAGCTTACTCGCCTAGCTTTGGAGGTGCTTTGTCTGTGGTGTGACACATGCCACTCTAGGAACCAGCTCATTACCTGAGACAGCCAGGAAGTCGTCAATGGAAGTGATGTCGTCAACAGCGTCTGTGAGAACACGGACTTGCTTTTCCCATTGCTCTTTAAAAAGATCCATGTTCTCTTGGGCCAGTTTACTCTGCGGCTTTGCTGCTAAGGCCAATGCGGCATTGATGACCTGCAGAAGACATTAATGCACGTTACTCACGCTATCCCCAGGCCACTTAAATCAGATGGGGTGGTCAGCAGAGCAGGAAACAACACCATTGCTCCACCACAACTGGTACAAAGAGGAATACTGAACAACTAGCCTCAGACGTTAACACCAAAGCAGGAAGTTTGAATCCAAACAATAGACAACTCTAAAACAAATGAATGCTCCCTCTAATTTCCCTAATCTATGAAGACAATTCTATAATTTTGCCATTAAATTTTAGACCTTTTTTTTTTTACAGGGATCTGAATTCCAGCCTCAGTGTGCACAACTTATAATTCACACAGTTTATCGATTTAAAGCATAAAATTCAATGACACTATAGTCACAATGATACCACATTCGGTTTTACCATTTTTTTCAACTTCAAAAGGAAGGTTCAAATGTATCAGCGAGCACTCCCCATTTCCTCTTCTGTCTTTATCCCCATCTTCTAGTAACTACTGAGTTACCACCACACCCCCAAAAGTGCAAGGATGAACTAAACCACCTAGTATCAGGCCATTAAGTACAATGCTACCCATGTTCATCTTTCACAGATGTCCTCAACTAAGCTAAGGGAGCACTCTTTGAACATGAACTAGAGAGACTAGAGGTACTTTTCTTTTATAACTGCCAATAGTGTCTTAACGTGGGGGCTGAGAGAGAAACTTGGGTCTTTTGCAAGTACAGTCCATGCTCTTAACTGCTCAGTCATCTCTCGGCCCACTCCCCCTCCATTGTTTTCTGCTGTCTGCAAACTCATTTTCATATTATCCATTTTTCATAGCATCAGTGAATGTGACAGGATATGAAGAGTTAGTAAATACATGAAAACAATCTTACCACCCTTAGCCATCAGGGGAATGCCAATGGGGGTCTCTTGCTACTTATCTAGATGCCTAGAATTTGCTTGAGAGATAAATCGCCCACATTATCCAGTTTGTATTTGCCAGTATGGGAGTTGCCCAGCTCTGCATGTGTAAAACCTCAGACTTGAGGTCCATCTGAGAGAAACGAGGCTCTGGGCAGTGGTTCACGCTGTGACACAGGCCAGGCGCAGGCTCACACACTCCAGCACTCTCATTAGGATCGACTAGACTCTCCCGGTATTTTTTCCTACGCTTTAAGATCATTTATATAAATACTCTCGGTAGGTGTGATCAGCGTATGTTACCATCTGTTTCTGAAGATATGTGGAAGCATTGTCGCTTTTCAAGCATTTTAAAATGAAACAGAGAACCAAAGATGACAAACTCAAGGGGACAAAGTCTCATCTTTAGAATCTACTCTAAATTTATTTCATATAATTTGGTCATCCTGGAAGTAGATTAAATTTTTTCACAGCCGTCAGTCACTGGGAACTCTTATGAGTGTATAGAGCTGGGGGCATGTTCATCAGATGGTGGGGTTTGTATCTGGCCCATCACAAAAGTCTCGAGTGCTCTCTCACGTGAGAAAGCCAGAGTGACAGTGACACGGCGCTTTTAAGGCTGTAGACTTTACACAGAAGCCTCCTCCCCGCAACCGCTGGAGCGTTACCGCAGTCCCTCTGCATGCCCCCCTTGTGTATGGCAGGACATGCAGAGAGGGTAACTTAAGTCCGAGGCTGTACTGTGAGCATTCTCTGTCCGGGAAGGCAGAAGTTAACCTCTTTCATCAAAACACTTACCTCAGAGCTTAGGAATCTCAGGAGTGGCAGGGAGCACTCCCTTGCAGACCACAAGTAACACCAAACACTCAGAAAGCATTAACGGGGCCAGTGAGAGGGCTCAGCAGGTAACGGTGCTTGCTGACAAGCCTGGTGACCTGTGACCCATATAGCAGTAGAAGAGATACAAGTCTCACAAGCTGCCCTCTGTCCTCACACCACGAGTACACGCAACATGTGCACACACACATGAGTAAATTAAATAAGTGAAAAATAGAAAAAAGCATTAGTTGTATGTTCTTTATAGCAATATGCTCAACCCAGCACAATGACACGTGTGTGGAGAACAGAGGAATTGTGGAAGTCTGTTCTTTCTTAACCATCATGTAGGTACTGGGGATGAAACCAAGGTCATCAGACTTGGCAGAACTAAGCCATCTTGATGATCCCTCCTTTGCGTTTTAAATGAAAGGCAAAGAGAAAATGATGCTTAAAGTTTTCCAAGCTACGTGGGTTATCTGTATTAGAAAGTCCTGGAGGGAGGGAGGGAGGGACGGAGGGAGCAGGCAGAGGATAAAAAGCAAGTCTGACAATAAATTCACATCCCTGTACTAAAACCCATGCTGGAGATGCTGTAAACTGCTGGCTCTACTTTACCTGAGGACAGAGAGCCTCTAGCTGGCTTGCAGACATTCGGACGAGCTTCACACCTTCTTCATTGTTGGAGATCGAGCAGGCCAAGTTGGCAACCTGCAGGAGGAAGAGCGTAAAGACGTCTATACACATTTGTCTCTTTGACTGGGAACAGACTGACATCTACCCTAACCCCGCCTCCCCAGAACAGAGAGATAGCAGAAGCACCAGGGAGCTTCACCTCTCAGACTGACTATCAGTTTATTCGGGTACACGTTTAACTTAAGACTTCAGTGGACATTGTAGGCTGGTATCGGGAGAAACAGCGGTGGCTTTGAAGAGGTCCAATCGGCCTCAGCAGTCTAAAGGCTGCCTGGTACGGACACGTAAGAAAAGGCAAGGAACACCAAGGAAGGATCCACAAATCAAAATTTTGAAACCATTCTCGAAAGGAAGAAATTAAAACTCCAAATTGCTGTTCTCACTGTTGTACATAGAAATGTAAATTAAGTTTTATTTGATGAAGGAGATTTTTAAAACACTGCAAAGGTAATATTAAGATGGCTCCAATGAAACCGGGCATATTGACACACGCCTTTAATCCCAGCACTTGGAGGTAGAGGCAGGTGCATCTCTGTGAGTTCAAGGCCAGCCAGAGAGAGTTCCAGGACAGCCAGAATTATATGGTGAGACTCCACTTGAAAACAAACAAACAAACAAAAGACGACCCAACGCCTCTCATAAAAGGGAGAGCAAACAATGATGACACCCACAGACATGGACACAAGCCTCCGTCAGCTGAGTCCTTAGAGGACACGGATGCTGGGCTTTCTTGTCTGGCTGGCAGTGTTTACTTTAATGGAAATCTTTCCCTTCTCTCCCAACAGTCTGCATGGCACAGCTGACATAACCAGGAATGATTTTTACAGGCTGGGTCACAGTTTAGCTTCCGAGTACTCTGACTACAAGGAAGAAGAAGGCTGCTCTTATGACCCTGGGGCAGTTACAATGCCTTGCCAATTTCATTAGCAATGCCAGGCCTACTACATACTCAATGCTGAGACACAGCCTCCCCTCAGGTATAAACTGAGTATGAATGATAAAGGCATACGCAGGGGAGCATCAAAGTTAATGTCAGAGGAAACAAGGGATAGCGATAGCCCTGATTTCACAGAGAAAAATTTATTATAGTTAAGACTACCAAAATCCTACTATACCTATTAATAACAAGGAAAAACAGAAGTAACATGCAATTTCAAAATAAAAATTAGAAAGTGACCTCTGATAGTCCCAGAACCTTTAAAAATTACATCAAGAATAACATTGTAGATCCTAGAAGCTTACAATTCTACCTACTGTCATCAACTTAACCTGAGCAGACATATTTCTCTACAAGATCACAATCTATAAATGATTTGTTTAAACTCACTGCAAATTATTAGAACATGTTTTTAAAAATTAAGATTTAGGACTAAAAATTATTTTACGCCATGGTAAATTCCCATAATCGCAGTGTATAGGAGGCCAAGACAGAAGAATTACAGGGTTGAGACCAATCTGGGCTATACCATAAGACGCTATTTCAAACCAAACCAAGCAACCATACAAGCAAAGAAAAAACTAACCAAGAGAGGGGCATTCTAGAAAACAAATAAAAACCTTGATGCTTACCACAAAGTTCCCTCTCTAAGTGACTCTCAGACAGACAGACCATCAGTAACTGGGATTAAGCTTTCTATCCTCAAATCACTAACAATTTTATTTCAATTTATATCATGTCAACTTTGTGAATCTTATAACTCACAAATATTTTCAAAATTAAGAAGTAAAGGATTATATTCTTGACTACAAGTCAGATACAAAATAGTGAAGGGTAAGGCTAAATGTCTAATTTGTAAGTCATTTGTTTCCTGACACAAATCTTAAAACAAAGGCTACGGACGATTTATCTTTTGTTTTAAACACATTATTCTAAAACGTTTCTAACATGCTGTCAGAGCAGTAAGATCTACAAGAGGACTGTTTGTTTTAGAAGGTCTGGGAAGGGAAAGTGACGCCTGTCACGGAGTCTTTTCTGGATGAGTAAGCCTCAATACCCCCTCCAGGAACAGGACTGCTCACTTCTCATGACGACAAATGTACAAGCGTACATTTGGAGTGTCATCAGAGTTCTCTGAGAAGCTAGCCTCATATACTAGTGCTAGACCTGGGTACCTTGAAAGGGAGTTACCCAAGAAAATCTGCACCTTTAGATTTGGAACAGCAGTCAATACAACTTTAAAAAAAAAATTAGTCTGTCAGGGAGATAGCGCAACCTAACAGTTAAGAATAGCACTGTTCTTCCAGAAGACTCAGTTTGAGTCCCAGCACCTACATGGTGACGCACAATGGTGAAATTCTAGTTCCAGAGGATCTGACACCCTCTTCTGGCCTCCACAGGCACCAAGCATGCATGCACATGGAACACAGACATACATGCAGGCAAAAACCATTCCCATTAAATAATAAAATCACCGTGAAGTGTTTAGCTTGGCAGGCACAGTAATACATACTCTGTAACCCCATCAGCAGGGGAGCTAAGGGATCACGAGTTCCAGGTCAGTCCAGGCTACAAAGAACCTGTCTCAAATCACTGGGCCTAAAGTCGAAGGCTTTAATCCCACCTAGGCAGGAAGATAAATTAAAAACTAGCTTGAACAAATTAGTAAGACCCTGTTTTTCAAACCTTTAAAAAGTAAAAGCAAAGTGTGTGTTTTAGGGGTGAGGGATGGCTCTGTGGTAGAATGTTTACCTAGGAAGTGTGAGGTCCTGGGTCCAATCCCTAGAATAGTCGTGGTTTGTATCGGGGAAATCTCAACAGAATTTGAAGTCTGAACTAAGAAAACACAAACATGAAACATAGGAGCATTTACCCCCCCTCAAGAAAGCCCGAGGCAGGTCTACTAATAAATAACAAGTAGGTGGCATCAAAACAAAAGAAGAAAACACAAAACACAACCGAAAACGAAGAGATAAGAACAGAGAAGCAGGGATGGATGAGCAGGACCAAGAAACAGAACGGAAAACTATCGGCACAAACGAACCCACCAATCAGTAATGGTAATAAATGCTCCCCGTGTTCTCGAGCCCTTCATATGAAGGCAGGTACATCACAGGTGGCTGGGTAACAAATGACCTTGCCTTGTCCTGACTTTACTTGATCCTAGCTTTCCACATAGAACTTTATCATACACATTTTTGTTCAAAATAAGCCATGCTAATGTAATTTTAGGAAGAATCAGAGTATAAATAAACATCACTAGTAACAAATACACAACAGAATTTATAATAGTGAATTTACTTAAATGATACTATTTCCTATTTCTAGTCTACCTAATTGCTTAATTTACTGACAAATCTAGCAATGCTGCCTCACTAAACATGGGGTATCATTAGTTCCATTTCCCAATGAGAAAATTTGGCTGGCCTGGAACTTACTATGTAGGCTGAGCCAGCCTGAAACAGAGATCTGCCTGCCTCTGCCTCCAAGTACTGGGATGAAAGGCCAGAACAACCATGCCTGCAGGTCTATAATCTACTTACCAATTGTTAAAAATGGTGTGCTGTGTGCACTGTAGCACGTGCAATGGTCATAACAGAAGTGAGGTAACCAAGTTACCTCACGTTATGGTATCATTTGCCTTAGCAATCATCCAACCAACCCACCATGGTATCTATTTTGTATATAACAACAAACAACGGAATAATATAATTAGGTTTGAATCTCTCTAATATACTGTTTTCTTTTTTGTGCTTCAAAATCTCAACCCCAGATTTTAAAACTGAAATTACAAAAGTTCTATTTAAAACACTAGTTTCCTACAAATATACCTCATCTAAAGTGACACTTTCACTCCCAAGCCACCAGGCAATTATCTATATGCTTCCAGAAACTTGTACTTTTTTAACAAGCAAAGTTGGATGGCAGGGAGGTTGTGTCTAAGAACACTGGCAAAGACAAGCGTAGGCATGCCCTGACTAGTGCCCTGGACTCTACAATTCAGTAATCACACAACAGCCGCTTCAGCATAAAGATACCTGTCTACTTGATGACCAGAGGACAGCTTTAAGGAGCTGGTCCTCACCTTCCAGTGTGGTCTCTAGACACGGAACTCAGTCAGTCAGACTTGCAAGGCAGAGGCAAGCACTTTGTCTGTTGTGCTGATTAGTTTCATGTTAACTTGGCAAACGTTAATCTTTTTGGAAGGAGAATCCTTAATTGAGAAGATGGCCCTACAAAGATTGGCCTTATGGTGTCATCTTCTTGACTGATGACAGATTTGAGAAGTCCACCATGGGAGACGACACCAGGGCTAGCGCCAGGAAGCAGGGCTCCTCGGCTCCGGCCCTGACTCCCCTCAGCAGTGGGCCGTGGTGAAAACGGTAAGCTAACTCCCCAAGTTGTTACTTGGCCATGGTGTTTTTATCACAGCAACAGAAACCCTAAGACACCACCATGTAGATCTGGGGCACATTTCTTTAAAAACCTAACAAATAAGGATACACACCTCAGGAATAGGTGTGATGTGCTGTAGCCAAGAAAGAATTCATGGAGAGTCAAAGCAGAGCGAAGAGTTTAAACTTTAAACTTAAGTCAAAATGCTTGTGAAGCATGCCAGTGCTGCTCAACAGAAAGGAGCAGGGCCATCACCTCTAAGGCAACACTGTTGGGTGATGTCCCAATCACCGGCTGCATTTTGCAAAGCGGTTACTGTCTATCACTCTTGCAATTTGTTTCTCATCTTCTAGACTGGCTTTTAATGACAGGAAAACTGGACAGGATGGTAGGGAACCCGGTCTAGGTAGAATACAGGATGCATACATCCACAGGGAAACTGCTAAGACAGACTATGCCTTTATATAATTATCTCATGCTCAGTACTGAAAGGGACATGAGGGGAACAGTGTAGACCTGTCTATCTAGATGTCTTAGCAAGATAAAAACAAAAGGATTGTTAATTGGCGGAAACATCAATTATACATAAGACTTGTTCAATCAGGAGATTTCCAGTGGCAAGTTCTATCTTATGCTATATCTTCGACAACATTTAAAAATAGATTAGATGAAAGGAGAAAATACACAAACACACACATACAAAATGGAAGAGACAGAGGAAATGACACACATTTGGAAAGTTGATAATGAAAAGAACAGCAGCAGCAGCAACAATTCTAACAAGAGATTAGACCAGATCTAAGTCTACACTGACTGAGTGTCAAAACTAGACAGAGCCAAATGCCCACCCGCACCTACCCTGACAGAAATGGACCTGATGTGGCCAAGGAGCAGTCGCCCCGTAGGGAAAACCCGGGAGCTCTAACTGACTGTGAGCTAAATGGGAATTTCAGCAGAGTCACTGCTCACAAGGCCAAAATCCTCCTGTGACACAGCGCTAAGTCAATCTCCGGAGCGATGAAGGCATTGGTTGCTGCTCCTGGAGCAGGTGTTCACTGAGAGCCTCGCTTGAATGGAGGGCACTCAGGGAAGAGCTCTGATAAAGAGAGCTCCCCAAAGCCTGGAAACCATCTAGCACAGTCCAGCAGAGAGACAGGTGAAACTTTTAGTAACAACATTAAAAAACTAAAAAGGTGATGTACATTTAATCTAAAAAAAAAAAGAGCGGTTATCATTTGAACACATAATAAATGCAATGAACTATTTTTTTTTCAGACTATGTATTTTATACTGAACATACTCAACTCCCAGATGTTGGACAGCAGGAAGGCAGACAGGGAGGTTTTGGAGTAGATGACAGCTGCTCTCTCCCAACCGTCAGAGGGAAAACTCCACAAGTGTCGTACCCTGTCTATGACTGAAGGAGCCCCAGAAGGCCTACATGATTTTCAGACTGAGGACGGGGCGGGCGTGGGGAAGCAGAGACAACACAGTTTCACTATGTGTCCCCACAGAACAGGACGACCTTCAGTTCCTAGACTCTGTCTCCCACACGCTCAGCATATGTGATACTTTAAAAAAAGCTACACAGAAAGGGACTTGTACAGCTGAATAAAAACCTATGATTCTTATGAGAAGTGAACACTGAATATTCCACTTGATCCACTTGTAAAGGGAGAAACTCCAAAGAAAAACAAAGCTCAAAGCCAATGGTACCAGGGCAGAGAAATGGAAAGAGAACAGGTGAGGACCCTAAAACGGACCCAGAGAGAAACAAACTCAGCAGCTGTGACCTCCTCCGTGGTCCTTACACGTAGCCGGCGAGGCAGAGTGTGTACTCAAGACAGGAACTGAAAGTCATGGGTGTGGCTTCCTTCATAGGACACTCAAGTACACAGTGCTGTGTACTATATAGTTATGTGGTCTGATTTTTGATCCGTAGAATCCAAATATTCCTCAACTTTCTGTAATCTACGTAAGTGAGTAGAAACCCCAGTTACCCACACCAGACCTGATGGTTCACACTACTGAGATGGCCTGGGACAGGGAATCAACCATCTGATTAAATAATTGGAACCTCTCAGGCCAGCGTGACCTGGGGAAGAGTGAGGCCATCAATCAGGCATGTATAAGGAAACTGGAACAAAGTTCATAGAGACTCATGGGAGCTCTTAGGTCGGTAAGTCTACCAATGTCACAGGAGGGCAGGGTGCCCCCATCCCATCTGTATGGGGACAAAAAATTTCCCCAAGCTCCAACCTATGTCTGTCTGTCTGTCTCTGTCTGCCTCTCTCTCTCTCTTAGAATTATTTATTTATTATGAATACAACATTCTGCCTGCATGTATCCCTGCACGCCAGAAGAGGGCACCAGATCTCATTATGGATGTTTGTGAGCCACCATGTGGTTGTTGGGAATTGAACTCAGGACCTCTGGAAGAGCAGTCAGTGCTCTTAACCTCTGAGCCATCTCTCCAGCCCCCAACCTATGTCTCTCTTAATTTGGCTAGCCCTGACTAAAAGTTTTGCCTTTCAAATAAATGTATGTGTCATTCTAGCAAATTATCAAACTAGAAATAGGTTATGAAAATGCCTAGCATTTGAGGCAAGCTGGTCAGGGTGCTAATATCTTGGAGCCCTAGGCTGGCATTTGAACTGTGGATCTTTTGGGGGCTTATGACTTTACCCTGTAGGTTCACACTAATCCCTGGCAGTCAATGTCAGAAATCTGTTGCGGTGTTTCAGAAAGATCACTCCTTCCAAGCATACCCGTAAATATTCTTAGTGGCTGTAAAACCTGATCTTTTCCTTTCCAGTTATATGCTTATACCACATGGTGTATATATTTTATACACTATTCTTATCTCTGCTGAACCAACAAGGAAAAGTAGGCCCTCACATTAAAGTTGGCCTGTAGACATTTACTTCAGCTATAAGGCAACTAATGAAAAGACATGAAATCAGGGGATTAATAAAACACCGAAGCATTGTACCTTTGCTTTAAAAAAAAAGTCTCTGATTAGTTCAAGGTGTGTTATTATAATACAAAGGTTGCAGGGGAGGAGAAGTCTTGTCATGGAAAAAAAAGTTCTGCCTTGAGTCAGGAATTTGAGGCTTCTAATACCTTAAAATTTAATTTCCTTTTCATGGACACAGTAATTATATATCTTACTGCCTCAATTACCATAAATATAACCATAGCTGTTTGCAGAATGGCACTACATAGCCTGGGTTATGCCTCCAGTAATGAAAACCCTGTGTCATTTAATTCACAGGTAAGAGTAGAAGGCAGAGGTCACGCGGAGGGAAAAGAGTGGGAGGGGCTAGAACTGAGCTGGGATGAGGAGCTTCTCCCTCTAACCTCCAAAGACCACGTTCAGAGCGAAATGAAATGTTTAAGCCTGGAAAAAAATTCCCAAAAGCTCTCACATCCAGCGAGTGGCTGATCCCTATTTTCCTTGTCTCCCAGCAGCTTCGTTTTGTTGTTTCAAGGCAGGGTCATACTGTGTACCGCTAGGTGTCCTGGAACTCGCTCTGTAGACCAGGCTGGCCTTGAACTCACAGAGATCCGCCTGCCCCTGCCCCAAGTGTGCCCAGCCCGTTTATGTTTTCCAATGGTTGGCCCTGGGCAGCAAGCGCAGTGAGCTTCACTACAGTAAGTCAGCTGGGAGAAGCTCTTGGGTCCCACACGAAGACTGTGGAGGGTACACAGTGCCATAGGTGCTTGTCAAACACCGACTGTGTTTCGCTGGCGGGAGAGCCTGAGGAGGGCACACCTGTCATAACGCAGGCCTCTCTGTGGGCACAGACAAGGGCTGCCCCCTCTTCAGACACTGACGCTCCCGGCCATAACACCTACCACCCAAACGAACTTCTCAATAAGGAAGCTACTTTTAAGAGGCTGTTCTCCCCGAACACGATTTCTGTCCCCTTAGAAATCACTCATAATGGAGATACAAATGAAACTCTCCAATTTTAGTTCCAAATGTCAGAATTATTAAGTTGAATAACGGACTGACCTATGCATTCTGCACATAATTCTGTTCAGAAAAACAGGGTGTAAAATTAGTAAGGAGTTTAAATGTAACTACTGATATTTTCCTTGGAGTGACAGGGTTTCTTTCTCTGTGTAGCCCTGTCTGTCCTGGAACTCTGTGTAGACCAACTCAGAGATCTGTCTGCCTCTGCCTCCCAGTGCTGGGATTAAAGGCGTGCTCCAGTGAGACCCAGGTCCTTGGAGTATTTTTATGGTGTTAACTTAGGCTGTGTCACTATAAACCACATTTTACATTCTGCTTTTAAATAATGACCACCTACCAATGGGTCTATGGAATACTTATCAATTATTAGTTTCTGTACTAGAGTTACGTTTTGTGTGTATCTTATTTCTAAACTATACTAATAATCAATATAAATTCATTTAACAAATGAAGAAAACTTATCTTAAATTAAGTGGCAATTCACCTTTTCTAATTATTATTTTGCAAACCAGCCATTCCCACACACATTCCTAGTGTAAAAGCATGTCTAATTTAGTTGATCTTGGAGCCTGCTTACTCTTAAAACAGGACCGAGCCAAGTCTGCCTTGGTCATAAGGCAGAACACCTAGCATATCTATCATTCTTTTGGTCCTCGGAACATGAAAAACAGTAGTTATAATAGAGACCCCGTGATAACTGAAAGACTGTTTATAAATATTGTATTTTCAGTGAGCCCTTGAAAACTTACCGTTAATTCAATCATGTAAAACTGATGACTCACAAGTTGCCTCTGTTAACCAGACCACTAATACACTTACCTCAATCAATTTGTTGGCGTGCTCACGAAAAACCTGGGCATACTCCTTAACTTCCTTCTCATTTCCATTCTTTGCAGCTTCAATCAGTACTAAAAGAGGGACGTTGGTCTCCAGGAAAGAATCTGATACATGGTCCATGACAGCTTTGCGAAGCTAGTAATTAAATTGTATAAATTTGATTTCATTTCTACTAAGAAGTTAAACTGTGATATATCTAATAAAAGCCTATGAAAGACAGGCAGAGCTTAAACAACTAAGCCCCCATGTAAGCAACGCATTGATACAACCTGCAAGAAAGAAAGAACTGTAGACCATGGTCTACACTGCACTCGGCACTATAGCAACAGAGTCCCAGTTTTCGAGGCCGTGCCTTCTTTTCTTTCCTTGGAACTTACAAAACTAAATAGGATCAGCACTGTTCTGGATTGAACTGGCACATAGCTTTGGAATACATGTAATTAGCCTAATTAGTTAAAATTAAATGAAAAAAGGAAAAGAGCCCTCTCTGGTCTATCTACACTACAGGACTATGCACGGTAAACTTTAAATCCTATCTTTCTAAGAATCATTGCTGACGTGCCGTTCACCAAAGGCGCATCAATTTTTAGTTATGTTTACTATGTAGTATGAGCAATAAAATGTCTCTAATTTCTGAAACTGTCCGAATTCTCACCATAACTTAAATCTTAATGCATTACACTACATATTTGTAAAGTCGACTCTAACTTCTTCTAAAAATGCTAACACAAAATTTAATGTCAAAATGTTAATGGAGTTGTTTATCATTTGAAGGAACAGATCTTTAAATTTACTAACACGGAAAATGCAGTGTCTTCAACATTATTGTGCTTGAGATAAAAAGCCATTTCCACCAGTGGGAACAAACTGATAATACAGAAACAGAGTAGGTGGACACGTGAGTCACTGGACTCCAGTGTGTGGAAGTCAACACAACAAGACTGCCTGAGGTTGTGTTCACAGGCCCCACGTCACCTCACCTTCATTTCCCGGCCCATACATCCTAATTTATTCAGTCCACCAAGAGGGAACATAATAGTCAACATCCCTCTGAGATTTTTTTTAGACATTAATAAGCTTCTCAGCAACAGAAGAGAGTCACTTTTCTGAAGACTTTCCCTTAATTAAAAATATAAGCCTATATTTATTAGAATTTTAATCAAAACTAAAACTGAGAACTTAGGAAGTAAAAGCAGCACTTGTTTAAAGCTTACCTGTCTGCGCAAGTCCCTGGTCTTCTTGGTCATTTTATCTATTGCTGAATTGAGCGCGTCGCTTCTTTCTTTACGCCCAGCCTGAGTAAACAGATGCTCACGTGAGTATACTTCAGGAAACATTAGTGAAGGTCTATAAATACTTAGTGGTAAAGCAACACCGAAATAAATTTTTAAAAAGAACCAACAGTAAAACAGACTTCACATTTTTAATTTTTTTTCTACTTTTAAGTGTAAGGTGTTTTGTCTGAATGTGCATCTGTGCAGCATGTGTGCCTCCTACCCACAGAGCCCACAAGAGGGCGTCAGACCTAGAACTGTAGTTACAGATGGCTAACCGCCACGTGGGAGCTGGACACCAACCTGGATCCTCCACCAGAGCAGTAAGTGCTCTTAACCGCTGAGCATCTCCAGGTTTGGGGACAGGCTCTCTGACACTCATCACTGACTCAGCGAGGCTGCTAGATTTAGCTCAGCAAGCTTTGGGCATTTTCCTGTCTCCATCTCTACTATCACACCTGACTTTTTACATCAACTCTGGGAATCAAACTGAGGTCAAGGTCCTTGTGCGTCCATAGCAAACGATTTACCTGAGCCATTTCCCAAGCTCCAAAAAGTAAGATGCAGGTTTGGAGAGATAGCTCAACAGAGTGTCTCACAACTATCTGTATGTAACTCCAGTTCCATGTCGCCTTCTGCTCTCCAAAGGCACCAAGTACTCATGAAGTAAAAGGACAAACATGTAGGCAAAACACCCATGCACATAAAATGATGATTTAAAAAATCACATCCATGAACTAACGATTGAGGGAATTACACAGGCACAGAAATATCCACTTTAAGACACAATGCCACCATACATCACGAATCCTTTAATTCTGCCTTTGCTAAACTGACCTAAAAATCAATTTGTCTTTTTGTTGCTGTGGGAACAAAAGGTTGTGTCTCAGTCAAGAAGGGTTTGTCAGGGCAGGCAATGGTGGCACACACATATGACCCCAGTACATGGGAGACAGGCAGGGCCACACACACACACACACACACGCACACGCACATACACACACGCACACAGACACACACAGACACACACGCACACGCACGCACGCACGCGCGCACACACACACGCACACACTCACACACACTCACACGCACACGTGCACACACACACGCGCACGCACGCACACATACTCACACACACACCCTGCCACACACACTCACACACACCCTGCCACACACACACACACGCACACACACCCTGCCACACACACACCCTGCCACACACACACACACACACACACAAGCCCTGTCTCAAAAAAAATAAAAATAAATAAAATAAAACAAACAAACAAAAAAGGGCCAGTTAGCTCAGACGCAGTTACTGACCCTTACTAGAAAGTGCTGGACAGAGCACTTAAGTCAGCATGTTTTTTGGTTGGCTTTCCGTCAGTTGCTTTTCAGTACAAAGAACAAGTTTAGGGTTCCGGCTATCCTCTAAAATGTAATTGGGGTATCATACATCTACAGCACTCACAAGCTGAACACTAAGATTGATAAATTAGCTTCCTGAATGCAAAAGAGATTTAGGAATTAGAGAAGAGCACTTGCTGCTCTTGCACAGAACCAGGTTAGTGCCTAGAATCCACAAACTGGCTCATAGACATTCTCTTCTAACCTCAATGGCACACATGGTACGTGCACAGATATGCAGGGAAACCACTTAGACACATAAACCAAAAACTCAAACAGTTACTTTCTGCTTTATAAAACTGAATTTCTTCTTTTAAAACTAAAGTTGCTATGACTTCTCTATAAAATAAAGTAACATAAACATTAAGAAAAGCAACCAAGGGGCACACATGACACTCCCTTATTTTGTATAGACTATTAAAAAAAAAACAAACTTTAGGACTGGAGAATTTAAAGTTTTCAGATTTAGGATGCTGAACTTGTGTTATCTATTACCAGAACACACAAGCTAAAGTAAGCAATCCTGAGCTCTACCTAACTGGGAAACTGTGCTCCACTGCATGGAGACCCCTGGGTATTTCTGTTTAGCAGTGGCAAAGGGCTTCCCGAGAAAACTGTGAGGCATATCTCAGGCTTCAGGGTAAAGCCGCCCTTCAGCAAGCAATATCAGCTGAGCTGAAGAAAGGAAAGGTTGGTTACTAGCTGGGTCAGTCTCTAAGTACAGTTCTCAGTAGGAAGTAGGAATTCTCATCTGGCCAAACAGAGAAGCTGCTGTACCTTCCTCCTATGTAACAAACTACTATTTATTTAGACAAAGTCCCAGGCCTGCTCCATATACTTAAAATGGGCAGGACCAACATAACCCCTTTCACAGAGGACTTAGAATCTAAAATAATTCAGAGCAGGCTAGGCGTGGTGGCACATGCTTTTAATCTCAGTACTCGGAAGGCAGGAGGATCTCCGTGAATTCCAAACCAGCCTGATCCACACAGTGAGTTTCAGGCCACCCAAGGGCAACAAAACCTCAGAATAACAGCAACAACAACAGTAATTCATGGCAATGCCTAATTAAACAATATCCAGTATCATGGAGTGCTATGATAGGTGTTCCTGATGACAAAATAACACATCAGAGTAGTACTCAGAGCCATACAGAGGGAAAGGTTACATACTTCTCAACACCTCCACCTAGTCTTTCAAGACAGGGTTTCTCTGTGTAGCCCTGACTGTTCTGGAACTCATTCTGTAGACCAGGCTGGTCTCAAACTCAGAGATCAACCTGCCTCTGCCTCCTTAGTGCTGGATTTAATGGCATAGACCACCACCACCACCCAGCAGACATTGACTCCACAAAGGCTTTGACATTATTGGTGGTACTTCAGGGCACAGTTTAGCCTCTAAATTTCAAAACAAACCTATAAAAATCTACTCAACTACAAAACATCCCTCTGTTGACAAGGGGGAAATGTTCCAAGTTGAAAAATCTGTAGTGATCTTCTTAAGGCTTTTCTGACAGAAGCTTTCATCTTATTCTATGCAATCCCTGGAGGAGTATGCCATTTTCATTACTTTGACAAATAAGATCGCCCAGCCATGCTCCATGCTATGATCTATTCATGTGAGCTCTGGCTCTTCAAATCTGACATGTTCTCTCACCTACCACATTCTGACTCCTATCTTTCCTTTGGAAAAACGGTCGCCTCTTTCTGGAAGCTTCCACTGGCCAACCTCAACTCTTAAGTCCCAAGTTCCCTGTCCTTCCACAGTGCTCCCACAGGACAAGGGACTTCCCTTTACAGCAATAGAAACCCTAAGACAGGTATCCCTGCCTACCATAAAAGAATAGGAAGTTTCACTTACATATCTGTATGTCACTCCAAGTAGGAAAGGAGCTCTCTTATCACCCATGTATTTGTTAAAAATAAACTCTCACATGGAATAATGCAAGTAACTATAACCGCCACTTGGTGAATTTCCTTAAACCTATTTTATAGAGGAGTGTTGGGTTAATTTCTGTCTCCTCTAAGGAAGTCAGAAGTGGCATGTACATAAACACATCTTCCAGGAGTGGTGCTGCCACTTTTAAGTCAAAAGGTCTATATGCAGAATAAAGCTACTCTAAAATGCCAGGAAGGAAAAGTCTGGTTCAGAAAGAACAAAGGGGACCTGGAGGGGTGGCTCACTAGTCTCCTTGCTGCCCTTGCAGAGGACCTGAATTTGGCCCCAAGCATGCACATGGTAGGGGATAACCAGCTCTCTGTAACTCCAGTCCCAGGGGAATTCAACACCTCTTCTGATCTTTTCAGGAACCAAGCATGCTTGGGTTCACACATCCACATGTAGGCAGAACACTGGTACACATAAAATTAAAAAAAAAAAAAAAACCAAAAACTTAAAGAAAACAGTATCCAGATAGAGAGAGGAAATATGAATGAATCCATCAATGAGGTGTGGGGGAGGGGAGTGTTAATGACAATGTTTCTCTGTGTAGACTTGTCCTGGATCTCGCTCTGTAGACCAGGCGGGCTCCAAACTCACAGAGATCCTCCTGCCTCTGCCTCCCACGTGCTGGGATTAAAGGTGTGAACAACCACCACCTGCAGCCTCCCTTCCTCCCCCCACCACCACTTTTAAGGTAAATACACTGTGTTTTGGACAACAGTCTTAGCTTTCAAACCCAGAAAGTGGGCAAGTGAAAAAAATAACTGCTGAGTTGGAAAAGGCTGTGTTGTTCCTCAATCAATCTAATGCAAAAAGCAGGAATGCCCGCCCCTTCCGAGGGGTGGCAGGACCCTGTAACACCAGCTATTTGGGAGGCTGAGGCAAATGAAGTCTCTTACTTTAAAAAATGCATGACTCTATTGCATGCCTGAGCAACTGCCCTCCCTCTGTTGGGAGAACAGCAGAGAAGACAAAGTAATTTGAAAAGTTTCAGTTCACTAAGTTCATCAATAGGGAGTAATATAATCTGAATAGTTTCAATTAGCTAATACATTAACAGATTAAAAATCAGAAAGGGACTAAGTGTTCTAAGAGTTTATTACACTTTTCCATCTCAGTTTTTATTACATACAACTCATTCCTAAGCATGGTTGATCTAATCCAACTCACTCACATGCTTTTTCTACCCAAACAACTAAGGCCGTTCCTTGTGAGAACAACACAGCTTCTGCATTAAAAAGGCTGTTTTCATCAGAATGTGGCTGACTTCAGTAAGACACTGACAATGTCCTAAGTGCTTCCTTTCAACTAACAATGATCCTTGCGACTTGATAGCCAAACTCAGTGAGCAGTGTTTCTGAAACCTAGGCTCACAGACTCAGTAGGATCTGATTAAAATGTATCTACGGAGAAATCAACAACACTTCATGGTCCCGTCTATACAAGACCAAGGTTAAGACACTCCAGAGATCAGAGAGGTATTACAGACGGACTCGAGGCCAATGGAAGAGTCAGCACCACGGTACGGTGCTTGTGAAGCCGCACTCATCCCTGAGAAGGGAGCTTCGCCGAGGCCAGTGGAGCTGTAGCGCACGCCACCGTCTGACACGGTCTGCACACTTCCCCTCACTGGTGTCGGGTGGAGCATGACTTTATTAACCCTCAAGGTATTGCCGCTGTCTTCTCAATCTCATGCTGCCTAGGCATTTGCTGCCTTCAACAAAACTTTGACACTTCTAAACCCTTCTTGGGGTCGCTTTTAGAAAAGCTGAAAAATACTTACTTGCTTTCCTAGAGTTTCCACAAAACCTTTACACAGGTAGGAGACTTAGAGTCATTACCAGAGTAGCCCTACTCCAATACATAACGCTATCTCTTTAGATAATGACTTCTTAGAATTCACCAGTGGAATGAAGTCCTCAGAAGCCCACAGACCAGTGACGTGCTTATTTCATAGACATCATCAACACTTTTTGAGGTTTCTGCTCTCGGGTACGAAACAAAACTAAGGGTAAGTGGTAATGTTATGGGGAATAATCAGTTCATGCAGCCAGATCAGCAAGACAAAGAATGTACAAAGCAGTCAGTCCCTCAGTCTGGCCAGCAAATATATCCCTGACTCATGCTAGACACATCTTATGCATTTATATAACACTAACCATAAACATTCTTGTCTGAAAAGTTATCTAACAGGGAGAGGCTAGAGTTGTCAAGCAAAAACAACCAAAACAAAATCCTATTCCAATATCAATGCCCTTTCATATTCATGAGAGGAATTAAAAAGAGCTGTGATGAGACTCACAGTCAGCTCCTAAGTGTGCAGGGAGAGGTAGTGTGCAAACATTATTCTGGTGTCACAACACCCCAATCTCAGCAGCAACTGCAGCATTCAGTTAAGAAATAGGTGAGATGCTGAAGTAGAAATCCCTAACACCATGTGAGAATTCAGCCACACTACAATACTTGTCCAAAATTGTCTGTTCCCCTGCTAACATCTGGGTCACGTGAATAAATGACTGTGTCGATCTGCCCCTCTCTTCTGGTAGGACACCCAAAGATCGACTTAGCACTGTTTTTCAGTCAGTGTGGTAATAAAACATTGTTATATAATAAGCAGAAAAGGATTATTTAGAGTTCCCTTGGAATTCTGAATGGGGGGGGAGCCAAAATGGTTTCTTTTAGCAGCTACCCTCTTTGTTCTTCTTTATACTGTTAAATTCTTAATGGCAAAGAAACTAAGCCTACTTAGTTTACCGACACAGTCATACTTGCTTCTTACCAAGCATGATAACAAGGCAATTGAGTAGCTTTCCAAACTACCAGAGCAGAGGCGTACCTTGCATAGGCTGGCATTAAATCAGCACTTCATAAATCAATCGTGCCCATTTAGATGATCTCTATGCAGAATCGGCAGTCTGACACTAGCTCTCACACGCATGAAAAATCATCACTCTGCTAGTCCAACTCACTGTTCAGCTGGGTCTTCTTGAATGCAGCATGTATTACAACCTCATTGTTGCTTCCTACACTGAAGGAATACCAAATTCTTAAGTCGGAGTTCTTCTTTCTCAATTTATTGTAAACAGGGTCCTGTAACGACCCTGACACTGTTACAAAGCACAGTGCTTTTTTAACAGTAAAGCTTCTGGAAAACCCAAACAAAAGACACGTCACCCGGTGACGTCAGCCTATATACAGTTCTGTGTGGTCGCAGCACATAAGCAAATCCATTCTTGTGCAGTTTCTCGGAAAAGCTTTTCAGTAAATGCACCCATGCTGCTCGAGAAGCTCTTCTCTGCAACAAGCCGCCCATCTGCCATCAACAAGTTAAGACGGAGGGGACCGACAGCTGCGGTAAGGAAAGCCTGAAGCTGACGGTCGGCAGTGATCAGGAGGAGGAGATGATTAACTTATAATCAAAGCTGATGTAGGGATCAGAGCACCACAGAAAATGAAAACGATGCTATCCAGAGGAATATCCTAAGGAAAAACCAATTCACCCTGGCAGATTTGAATTGTGCTTGGAAACCCTGGGACACAGACAACAGGAAACCGGTCAAAGGCTCCTGCATGCTAGAGCCTTTTACAGACTCACTGCGTTGAGTCTGACAACCTCGACTGAATGCAGCCTCCAATGTGCTCAGAAGAATGGGTAAGTCTGTGCATTTCTATGCATTTCCTGTACAATCAAAGAGGAATCACGCGTAATAAAACAAGCCAGTGAATTTCCATTTTATGATGCAAATCACTTGTTTCGGGATTTTATAAGATTTATATAAAGGCATATAACCCTAAGAAAAGGGACATGTTTTAATCTCTTTCGTATTTGGTTTAAGTTTTGTGTTCGAGTATACAAGGTTAATTTTTCTGCAGTAAATGAAAAGTGTTAACATGCAATGAAATCTTTCGTTATGATGTTACATTGTTGTTGTTTTCAACAGCCCCTGTGTTCTGCTGAAACATATCCTATCTTCTTGTTTTCCTTAAATTACATTCTGCAGGCTTACATTTCAAGTGGCCATTAGGGGCCCCTATGCTGGCAGCAATATATGCAATGAGTGTGGTTTTAAAAATGCTGCCTGCCCTGGGCATGGCGTGTCCACCCAAATGCCGCTGTGAGAAGCTGCTGTTCTACTGCGACTCTCAGGGCTTCCATTCGGTGCCAAACGCCACAGACAAGGGTTCTCTGGGCCTGTCCCTGAGGCACAATCACATCACAGCGCTGGAAAGAGATCAATTTGCCAGCTTCAGTCAACTCACCTGGCTCCATTTAGATCATAATCAAATTTCAACAGTAAAAGAAGACGCTTTCCAAGGACTATATAAACTTAAGGAGTTAATCTTAAGCTCCAACAAAATATTTTACTTGCCAAACACAACTTTTACCCAGCTGATTAACCTGCAAAATTTGGACCTGTCTTTTAACCAGCTGTCGTCTCTGCACCCTGAGCTCTTGTATGGCCTCCGGAAGCTGCAGACCTTGCACTTGCGGTCCAACTCCCTGCGGACTATCCCAGTGCGCCTGTTCTGGGACTGTCGTAGTCTAGAGTTTCTGGATCTGAGCACAAACCGTTTGCGAAGTCTGGCTCGCAATGGATTTGCAGGATTAATCAAACTGAGAGAGCTTCACCTGGAGCACAACCAGCTGACAAAGATTAATTTTGCTCATTTCCTCCGGCTAAGCAGTCTGCACACACTCTTCTTACAGTGGAACAAGATCAGCAACTTGACGTGTGGGATGGAGTGGACCTGGAGCACTTTAGAAAAGCTAGACCTGACTGGAAATGAAATCAAAGCCATTGACTTGTCAGTGTTTGAAACCATGCCTAATCTTAAAATACTCCTCATGGATAACAACAAGTTAAGCAGTCTTGATTCCAAAATATTAAGCTCCCTGAGGTCCCTCACAACCGTTGGCCTCTCTGGCAATCTGTGGGAATGCAGCCCCCGAGTGTGTGCTCTGGCGTCTTGGCTGGGCAGTTTCCAAGGTCGGTGGGAGCATTCCATCCTATGCCATAGCCCTGACCACACCCAAGGAGAGGACATTCTAGATGCAGTCCACGGGTTCCAGCTCTGCTGGAATTTATCAACCACTGTCACTGCCATGGCTACAACTTACAGAGAACCAACCACTGAATATACAAAAAGAATCAGCTCATCAAGTTACCATGTAGGAGACAAAGAAACTCCAACTACTGCAGGCATAGCAGTTACTACAGAGGAGCACTTTCCTGAACCAGACAATGCCATCTTCACTCAGCGAGTAATTACAGGAACAATGGCTTTATTGTTTTCCTTCTTTTTTATTATTTTTATAGTGTTCATTTCCAGGAAGTGCTGCCCTCCCACTTTAAGAAGAATTAGGCAGTGCTCAATGATTCAGAACCACAGGCAGCTCCGATCCCAAACTCGACTCCACATGTCAAACATGTCAGACCAAGGACCGTATAATGAGTACGAACCCACCCATGAAGGACCTTTCATCATCATTAATGGTTATGGACAGTGCAAGTGTCAGCAGCTGCCATACAAAGAATGTGAAGTATAATATCTAATCATCAAAAATCACATCAGATAAGTAACCTATTTTACATAGTAGGGGCTAAATACATATCTAATTTTTACCAATGGTGACATTAAGCCTAATTTTCCAAACCAAGTGGAGACTTGAGTTTTTGAAGTGTTGAAGTATTTTTAATTTTTTAATGAAAACATATTTTAAGTGTTAAATGAAGCAATGCTCATATTAATTTGCACTCTTGTTGGAAAGTCTAAATGCTTACTTCAATATAAAACATTTCATGTATGTAATTATATACTATTGTATGTAAACATTTACACTAGGGTCTCCATATGTTTTTTTTTCTACTGAAAACAGTTCTGAAAGAAGCTACTAAACAAAAATAGATAGGGATGAAAACCTGTTTGATTATTGTTCTCCATCCCATGGACCACAACCGGCTTCCTGCTTAAAAGAAACAGCAAAGTTCTCTTGTAAGATAATGTGGTATTTACTCAAACTATAATTTATTGCCAATATGAGGAGGAGGCTTACATGTGTGCTTAAGACTGGTAAATATTAAACATTATTCTTTCAGAGTTTGGTCTGGTTTAATAGACACTATCTAAGTTACATCATGAAACCAGCACCTTTTATATAACTCTAATAAAACCGGGTGACTCTTTAACAATAAATCCAAGCAATTATTTTTTAAAAGCCTCATTATAATAAATCAATAATAAATAATTACACTGACTTCTTATACAATTCTAGTTTGACTTATAATGGACATGATGATTTTTGTGGCATTTAGACTATTGTTTTAAACCTAGTATTAAATTACCATTTTACTAATTAACTTACTAAATCATATACTTATGTGAAAACTTAAACATTTGGGAAAGAGAAAACTGAGTCAATCTAACAACCCTGATATACTCCATCCGGTCTGAAAATAATCCCCTCTCATGGCTAAAGATGCCTTGACTAACTGTTTAAGCTCTGCCTTCTGCCCTTCTCTGATCTTTAAACCTCAAAGACCCAAATTAAAAATAATCAGGTACTAAAGGCGCCCAACACTGACTCTTGTTATATTATTAAGAAACAACAAGAATCACTTTCAAAATATGTTGCAGCCTGCCCTTTAAGAAAGAGACACATGTATATTGCTGGCTCCTTCTGAGATGGGCAGAACTCTCGGCATAGGCCCTGCAGCCACAGAAACTGAAGGCAGGGGGAGAGGGAGAGGAGATAAAGAGCAAAGAGACTTTGGAAGCCCAGGACTCTCAGGTTAGTGGAGGTTACGAAGCCGCAGACGTGATTATGTACAATTTGCACCAAATAAGCAATGCTCAGGGACCTGTGTGATACAGAAGGAAGCTCTTTGGTGTAAATATGAACACTCTGATCATAGTAACAAATGACAAGGATGCCACATTTTTTAACGAAGAACCATAAGTGTTTAATTATCACTTCTTTAAGGCAAATGATGGCATATGGGGGATTTAGACTCATTTGTGTAGAATTGTTCTACAAGGAAGGTTCCACATACAGGAGAAAAATGAAATTAAATCATTAATTTGGCTTCAGGAGGAAAAAAAACACAAGCATTCTTCTGTGGGGAAAGATGTACAGATCCTTAAAGAAAGTCACTAGCATAAAAAAGAAAGACATCCTTTCCTTAACATGTATGTTTGTCACCATATCCTTCACTCAAAGCTGATTTTCTCCCGAAGACTGAACAGAAATATTACTACAGACCTAGATTCAATCACAGCTTTCCTCCTTTAGCTCTGAAAAATCTTTTAGCAAAAAGCAGACAGTATTCGGGATACAGTGAGAATGTATGTTCTTTATCTTTTTTAAGGTGGGTAGATTAGTCCGGCCAAGCCTCAGAGCGGCTCAATTCAGCCGATGTTGAGTGGCAAGCGTCTCATCTGATAACCCAGACGCTGGGCTCATCTGAACCGAGGCAGATGCTGGTTTTCTGGCACAGGGCACAGCACACTGCTTCCCCACCGAGGTGGGCTGGAATTTACCAACACATGCACCGCGGTGAACACTGCCATTTGTCAGGTGACAGGCAGCTTGTTCACGGTACAGCTTTGAGCATCCAAGACTGGACTGGCCCTAGAGGATGAGTGTTTTTCATCATTTCAATTCACAACCAAAATTAATTCAAACTGTGAGTTAAAAAGTAAGCAATATCAACTAGGAACTCCAGTTAGTCCCAAAGGCTATAGTTAATGAAGCATATGTAGCAGAGCAAGACATTTAGCACCTGGGAAGAGCAGTGCCAAGGCCACCAAGGCGAGTTTGGGGGGGGGGGCACAACAACGACACACTGTTTTTTCCTTCCATGTTTTTGGCAATGGTAATGCCAACCAGGTATTTTCCTTTCTTACTTAAAGCACAAACTACCATTTCTAACTGCCTACAGAAAGCAGGGTTCCATTTAGTTGGTATGTATTTGTGTTGCGGTATCTGTGGTACCAACTGGCCAGAGTAGAACTGCCTCGCAGCAATACCATATGCAGTTCCTAGGTTCTAAATGTGAAGGCTTTTAGGTGGGGTCTTACTCTCTTAAGCATTACCACCCAACTCCCCCCCACCCCAGTTTTAAAGATTAGCAGAAAATGACCATCACAAGTGAGAAAAACAATGTCTCAGAAAAATGAAGTGTCTGCAGAGGAACTAAAAACAGTTTGAAACTACTGTTACTCATTTCTGTGGCCTACAGGGAATTCAATTCTAGTTTACCTTTCTGAGATGGCTGGTAAATCTGAAAACCCATATAAAACTGGTAATACCGCCAGCATCAAAAAGCAGACACCAAGTTTTAAGCCAAAAAAACTGTATTACCACATGCAATTTCTTAATGAGTACCAATTCAATGAATGGAATTGACTGAACTTCCTAAACTCCACTCACCAATTTTTAAAATCAATCTGCTTATTATAAAGCTGATCACTAAAAACTAGACCCCCATCTTTCCAGTAAAAGCAAGCTCTACGCAGCACTAGTCTGAATTTTAAAATATAAAGGTCTTACTATTTTCTTACGTCATAATTCCCACATGTAACTATGTAGAGGGTGGGACTATAAAGCTCCCTCTCTCTCCGCTCCCCCCTCTCATATAGATAATTTTAAAGACTATTTTAACAGCTAACTTACATGATACCTTTCCTAATACAGCAATCCAGTGGTAGCACTATCTCAAGTCTGTTTAGGACACATTTTTCATATCTTTTTAGTTAAAATGCTTGAACCAGAAGGGATGGTTTTTGGTTTGGTTTGGTTTTTAAGACAACATGGGCCATCTATAGATAATAAGTATTTCTTTAGCTACCTTGGAGCAAACTCATAGCGCTTAAATGAGGTCAAAACCAGAAAATGACCACAGAAGCTTTCTCATCCTCCTACTGCGGACATCTGGAAATGGCTCCAACTCCTTCAACTAACCTTTTTGTCCCTGAGTTTTTAAAATCAGTGTGATACATGGAATGTCTGGTGAACCTATGAACACTGGGACTGGAAACTCAAAAGTACAGACCAAACCCATTTGTTCAATTACCTTTAAGAGCCATGGGGGCGGGGGGGAATAGGAAGAAAATACTATTATACAAGGAACCGGGGCGGGGAAACCGTAATACAGTGTACAGGAAAGTTTTGTTATTAAAATTGTGTATACTGTAAAAAACAAAAAACAAAAATGTCTCCTTTGTTTGTAATTTTCCCCCCTGAAATCTGCAAGCGCTGAAGGAGAACCCTGAATAAGGCATTTGAGTCAGAAGTGAACAACTCTTCTGTACCACGCTGCTTCTCAATGTCAAACGTGTCTCATGAAGAGGGCAGCTGGTCATCACCTGTCTTTTTTCACAGAAACAAAGTTTGACCAAGAAGTGGGGTGGGGGTGGGGGTGGGGTGGTGACAACAGACAACAAGTCACACCCAAATACTAGTTGTCACGGCCCTAGCAAAGGGACTGGAAAGTAGGGCTCACAAGCCCTGGGGCTGGTTGCTACTCTCAATTCTCCTGGTACAACAACTACCACAGCCTCAAACAGTTGAAAAGGGCACCTTGGTACCTGGGACTTAATAAACTGAAACTTGGCTTCTACTTCAATGTATAAATACCAGGATCACTTTGCAAACCACGCCTACCTGAAGTCTACAGGTGCTAACAACGCTAGGAATGTAAGACTCACTGTATGATCTCTACCCTGGTTGCTAGCTCAGTAGGTATGAATGAGAAAAGGAAATGCTGTTTTACTGGTCATTTTGTTTGGCTAAATACCCTCAGACAGGATGCTACGCCTAGGCAGTGTCAGGGCAGAAACTACTTTGCCTCCTAGGTACCAACTGTCGTGAGTGATTCACCTTGCTTGAACCTCCTGCTTACCCAGCCCCAGGGCTGACAGAGTTGCTCAACCTAGGGCTGCAGAGATGGCATTTGGAACCCAGCACCACATAACAAGCCAAACACATTACATGTATGTTCCCATTACATGCATGCTCCAAGTATGTTACACACCTGTAACCCCAACACTAGAAGTGGTAAGAAAATAAGATTACTGGGGCTTGCAGGCTGTCAACCTAGCAAAAACCCCTTAGCTATAGATTCAGAAATAAACTCTGGCAGAGTGAGAGAAAAGGGCAGCCCACAGCCTCTTCTGGCCTCCACTTCATCTGAGAGATCTCAGCAGCAACGTGCAGACCACCACTGACGTGTGTGCTCCTCCACATACACAGAAGGAAGCCCACTTCTTCCCAACACTCAGGGATTCTTGGGGCCAGAGTTCTCGAGACAGAAACCCAGTAACTACCGGGGAGGGAAGAGGAAGTGCAGTACGCACTTTATGTGAAGAATAATTTTCAATGGCACTAGAGAGATAGCGTCAGTAATGGCGACTTTACATTTTACAAAAGGAGCAAAGTCCCATACTTTATGAAGCTAAATAGACCTTATTAATATAATTCTCTGATGTTTTGATCTGCAAATCCCCGTGTAGTTACACCTGACTCCTCTAACAATTGTTTGAAGATTACATGGATGACCAGACTTGGGTTCCCACTGAAATACAAAGAAGCTATTTCTCCCAATGTTAATGTAAAGTGACTTCCACACTCCTTCTATAAAAAAGGGCCTGGTCAACTACGTGCAAGTCTCCCCTTGAACAAACTGCACAACAAATTACCTTTACAGAGAAAGAAAAGAAGGGGAAGCATAAATATTCTAAACAGCTTTCTTCCGTGCAAGTTTGACCTTCCTTTTCCCCAGCTGATTGGTGTTTTAGAAAAAACATGTCAACAAATCTTTAGCCTCCCTTCCCCTATCTAAAAGAGACTCAGAGGAAAAATAAACACAAAAAACAAAAAACTCCAAGGCATGCATAATGAAGAATCTTAACCTACAGAGCCCATAAATCATGCCTTCGCCCCTCTCTCTGTGCCCTCCACCCAGTCTGGCAACGAAGCCTAACCCAGGCCTCCAAGGGAATCCCTGCTACAAGTCCGCATTAGGGAGCACCTGTGAACAACACTAACCGGCAAGGGCTAGTGACGCGTCTCTTAAAACCGAAGCTCCAGAAACAATTCCCATCGCCCTTTTTCAGACTTTACCTAGAAGCACAGAGATGTGCAAAGGAGTGGTAGTTAAGGGTAAACCACACTGTACACTCATTCATAATCGTGCTTAGAGCCCAGTTCTATTGCTAGACTTTGGTGGCTATAGTTAAAATAGAGTTACCAAAGCTGCAAGCTGCTTTTTCTAAAAGAGTGGCCAGGTAAGAATCAATAGCCATTTATATATTAGCTAATCTGTTTTGTTAGTTTAGGAACCAAAAATATCCTTGTGAAAAACTAAACTATTTCCCATCGGGATACAGCACTTGTCCAGCGTGCTGAGGGCCACCTCCCCCTCTTCAGTCTTAGCTGTCAAATACATGAAGGCCAACTTAAAAAAACAAAAAACAAAAACAATGTGGCTATAATTACACAAAGCCTAATTCTATAGAATCAAAAAGGTAAACACATTCTCATGTGCAGAATACCTAAACTGGATGCAAAATGATTAAAAAGCCAAGATTCTAAACCTCAAAGGTCCAGAATATGACGCTCAGATTTCAAGAACCTTTAGAAAGTAATACAATATTATACATGGCTGCAAAGATTAAACCTAACGAATCCTAGAGTGTTTTTAATAATTCGTGATTAAGGACTAGGCAGCAATGACAGAACAATAAAACAGTTTCTGGGCTTGATCTTCCCAGTGACTGAGGCAAAACCAAAACAGCAGCTTTCACCTGGTGAAGACAGGCTTTAGCCAGGTGTCGTGGTAAACACAGCATTCTGAATGCTGAAGCAAAAGAACTGTATAAGTCAGAGGCCAGCCTGGGCAACATGCAAAATCTCATCTCAAAACAACCAATTAAAAGAAAAGAAACACTGGTTTATTTAGAGTTAAGAGTTACATGCAAAGTCTGAGTAAACGGACTCAGACGTGGAACAGCAAGAAAGACATCAGCTGGAATGAGTAGGGAGGCCTGCACCCCGCGTTCATTCTTGGTCATCAGCTGGAAAGAGTAGGGAGGCCTGCACCC